TTTTAGTGGGCTGCCTCCTTGTTGGAGTCTTGTGGAAGATTCAGAAGCATCCCTGGGGAGTGACTTTCTTCTTCCAGGAACCTACAGGTTTCAACAGCTCTAGAGCAATTTTTGTATTAGTTTCTTGGCTCAGGGTTTCCATAGCTGGCAAGTAGTGCAAAATCAAGCCTCATAACATCCCATAGCTAGAGCTAGTTTCTAGAGTGTGACTTTGTTTTTACCAATGCCCCAAGATGAACAGTTCCTTAGTTTACTGGCTTGAGGGCAGCATTTTTCTATTCCCCATTCAGGGACAAGATAGTGCCTTTTGGCTCCTGGTTTTAAGCAAGAAGTCCAACCCCAGCTTTGCACTGTACACAAGAGGCTTGGAAGCTTGACTCCTCCCAGCTGAATGACTTAGAGAGCCTGACAGCCCCGAGCTCAAGCTCTCTGCTGCAGCCATCTCATGCAGCATCTGCATGGTGTTTGATACTGTGATTACGTGCTTACGTGTTCTCTTCTAGACTGAGCTCCTCTAAGACAGGACCTGAGTTTTTGCACCCATCACAATGCTTCCTACAGGGCCCTGCATAGATGCTTTTGTGGACTGAACTATACTGTAATCTTCTAAAGGTCACCGCTAAGGGCTTGAGTAGGGCCTTTCTGACCCTGACCTAGTTTCTCATTGTTAGTGGAACGGTGGGGGTGAGGGGCACCACACAGAGGCCCCCCTTTTTATTTTCTGCTCTTTAAAATCAAAAGAAAAAGGCAGGTCTCCACCAGGCAGGGTTTACTCTGGTGCAGCAACTCCCCTGTTGCCATCAAGGTTCACATTCTGCCACCTCAGCTTCATATACCGAGACAGAAAAAGCAGCAGGAAGACTTGTTTAACATTTATTCCCAGGATTTTTTTTAATTTCCTCTGAAACGAATATGAATACACTAAGGTCTTTACACTCTGCAGGAGCTAATCCCCCACTGGAAGCTTTGGGGAACCTCATTCCTTCTTGCGGATGCGATCTGTCGACACAGGCGTTCCTTCAGGCTCTTTTGAAAGGCCCACAGTGGATGGAGAGGCACTCTCTTTGGAGCTCTATTACATTTATAATATGACTTTTTAAAAAAGAAAATAACATAGGAATTGCTTCCAGAACCTAAATGCCTGTGTGAACTGCTGTCTTCTCTGAGTCAAGGCAGCTTTCAGTGGGCTGTCCAAGCAGTGAGTGTACCCACAGCCGCCCTGTTTTGGGGCCGCCAGCGGAGGGGGCGCATCCTGAACCCAAACTCACCGCACACGCTCAATAGGAAATGTGTACTTTCAATGTTGAAAGAACCATGGGAAGAAAGTTGTATTTTTATAAATGAAAGTGCTTAATATTATTCACTAAGTAAAATCATATTTTCCTTGAATGCCTTGGTCCCGGTATCAACTTCATTAACAACAAAAAATCTCCCTGAAATATTTAATCCCTTCTAATAACAGCAATAGAAATTCTCAGTATTTATCCACTGCACATTTACTCATTGTTTACTGTGCGCACAGCACTATAAAGAGGTTCTGTGGAGGTATTGTATCGAAAAAGTCTTTGATCTCAAGAAGCTTCTTTTTAGATACCTAATTTATTTTGTGGCTGGCTCAGTGGGATAAAAATTGTCTTAGAATTGCTAATCCAGTGGAGATGATTTAAATTACTCAAGACTATGGAAAGCTATCTGTTAAATTATCTGTCCGTGCCCTTTCACACATTTGTGCTTTTAAATCAAGAGTATTTTCTTAGCACAGAAGAAGGAATCCTCATTTTAAGGCATTACTAGGTCTCCCAGTGAATCACATGGAATGAGAATCCATCTTAGAGGTAGTCAAAGTCATGTATCTCCCCAACACTATCTGATGGAGCCTTCTGCTGGTTTCCTGGGTGGCCAATCACATGACAGATATATGGCTCCGAGACAGGAACCGAAATAAAATTCCTATAATACCCTTGGGGGAAAGGGGATTGTCACTGCTGAGCACTTTAGTCAAAGGCTTATTCCTTTTAAACTTGCCTCAACCTTACTTACTGCTCTGAACAGAACCCAAAAGAACTACTTAGTTTTCCTACTGAGTGTACAATACATTGAGCTGTTGTAGCTTTGCAAATTTTCTTTCAAGGATTTCAGATGCTAAATGATATATCATATATCCTGGTAGAGTTTATTCAGTACTCTAATAATCTCAAGAACGCTTCACTCAGGGTAGACTCTAGCAGAAAGAAGAACTGAAAAAAGCAAACTTTTTTTATTCCAGAAAGTACATTTTTGGCACTGTCATCTGTGCCAAACGAATCTGAAGGCCAGGTGGTATGCGCTCAGACACCCATTGTCAGGTGGCCGTGAATGGCACATGGACCCAAAAATGCTCTACTCCAATCCCTCATCCCTCCAGTTCATGTGACAGCATCATCAGGTGGAAGCACCATGTGGATATGAGTCTCCCACTCCAGAGATCCAGGTCAAGGATAAGAAATGCATTTCCTAAGTGGTCATTCCACAGTTTCCATTTCTGGCTCAGAACTCAGTAAGTGGTCATGCCATCCTTCCAGCTCCTCAGGCCAAAAGCCTCAAAGTCATCCCTGACTCCTCTTTCTCACTGTGCATCTAATGTGTCAGAAAATGCTGTTGGATTTACTTTTAGAACATATCCAAAATCCAACTACTTCTCACCACCTCCACCACTTCCATGCTAGTCCAAACCACTGTCCTCTCCCCTGGATTCCGTGCTCTTCCCACACCCTTACTGTCCAGTCTCCACTCAGTAGACAGAGTGATCCTGAAAAAAATTCAGTCAAATCATTCTTTTTCTCAAAACCCTATAACAGCTCCTTTGCCCAGCTCACACAGAGTCAGAGACAACATCCTGATAATAGCCTCCAGGGCCCTACAAGGTCTTCCCTGCTCTGGCACCCACCCACATCTAAGTTAACCTCTTTCCTCCTCACTCACTCTGCCACACCCATGCTGACCTCTGTGATGCTTTTCCAACACACCAGGAACATTCCCATCTTGGAACTTGTAATTCTCTGGCTCCTAGGAATGGTCTTCTGTCTACTAGCACATGAGCACATGGTTTGTTCCTTCATCATCTTAAGTCTCTGCCAAAAGGCCACCTTCCCAGTGAATCCTACCCTGTTAACTCTCTGAAACTAACTCCCAATGCCTGGTACCCCTTTGCCCCTTTTCTGCTTTATTAGCCCACAACATTTATCAGCATCTGACCAAATATTTATTCACTTATATATCTGTTGATAATCTGTCTCTCTCCACTAGAATGGAAGCTCCATGAGGGCAGGAATTCTTGTCCATTTTGTTCACTGCTGTATTTGCATCACCAGGCATGGTAGGTGTTCCTTACACAACTGAACAATAAATAAATGAATATTTGACCTTGATATGTTTACTTTCAGACATTCCTCAACACACATACCACAACACCTTCAGAGTCTGTAGCAGGCTGTATTAAAAGAAGAAACAGAGGACCTTGTGAGATTTCTAGAGTCCTTTTGGATCAAACACTCCAAAAGGAGTGTTTGGTGAGGTTATGACAAGCTTCCAACATACAGACAAGTCCATGTTAGTAGATCAGGAGGCTGGCTGATGCTGACACCTTTCTGTGCACAGACAGAGATTTAGTTTTGGGAATATGGAGCATGGAGCCATTCTGTTTGAGGCTGAGCACAGTGGCTCCTGTCTCATTTGCCTCTCACTACATACCCATGTCCAACACTGAGATTTTCTCCCATGAAAACAGGAACTCACTGAAGCAGGAGTATGTCTGCAGAAAGTAAAACTTCTAGTGGAAGCTGCAAAGTCAGAGGAAGGTACTGTATGTCCAAAGATTCATTTTTTTAAATTTGAGATTGGTTTGGGGGTTAGGGTAAAATGGAAAAGGAAAGTTGATAGTAATAGGCTTGTTGAAGATTTTTCTTTTTACAAAGAAATTAAAAACAAAGTGAGAAAGAAATATCTGACCATCAGCATTTTGGTCAGTGATAATATGGGCATTTTTAAATTGTGGTTTTTGTGTGTGTAAGTGCACGTGTGAGAAAGTGGAGAAGAAAATAAAAAATAACGCTTTTTTCCAAATGAAATTTCTTATCTATTATCAAAAGCTATCTGTTATATTTGTTTCTTTTTGTAGCATAACATCAAATTATCAGTTCACAAATTAGTCAATTTGGTGACAAGAAAACACAGTATCACTGAAACTAATGTTTCTCACTGAAGCACATCAGAATGACCTAATTCTGTTCCAAATACTGGAAATCACTTTCAAATAGTTTTCAAATAACTGATAAAACAGAAATATAAAGTTTACATGAAAGTTGCTGCAAGTTCACATTTGCCTAGATGTTAATTCTTTTAAAAATAATGGTTGGCATGGCAATAAAGACAGGAGAAAACTGCACGTCTCCAGACACAGTTATAGACAAAAAATTTAGAAAGACATGAATTCCTCAGTCACATATCTACCATTTTAAATATTATTTATCATGCAAATGACTATGTAGGAGGAAGCACACCCAATCGACTAAAGGGGTATTACATACCCTGACTAAATTACATTGCTTTCTTATTACTTCATTTTTGCATATAGTGTGGTTCCCACAAGACTGTGTATCCTTTCAGAGCAGAAGCTGAATCTTACACTGCTCTTGTAATCCCTAAGGCGGCAATCACAGAACCAGACACACAGTAGGTGCTCAGTGAATACCAACTGACTTAACTTGCTTCAACTATTATTTAAAATTCTGGCAAAGTCTTTGAAGTCGTTAATAGGTGAAGGACTGGCCCGTACAGGTTAAGATGCCCTATGAGAAAGCACATGACATGCAGGGAAAAGAAAATGATGGAACAGACTTGCGTATGTTTGTGTTACTTATCATAATGAACCACATTTCATGAGTTTCAAAAAACGCTCTTAAAAAGTTAGCTTTGAAATACGTATATTGAAATGTGAATTCAGAGCTAAAATAAATTCTTACAGTTTTCATCCTGGGCAATGCATTGTAAGGGGATCCCAAAGAAAGACGTATAGCTGTCATTGTACCACACCAGAAGCTCGGTGCCCCTGGGGATATCTATACAGGCTCGGTAGAATATATTCGACCTATTCAGAAACAAAAGAAAACCCAGCTTAGTAATACATAGGACTCATGTGCCCCCATCCATATTTTTATTGCCCCGAAAAAGTTCTGCTCAACTCCATCTGAACAGTTTCTGTTTGTAATAAATCGACACCCAACTGATTGTCCCCAGCAACCAATTAGAGCCTGTAACTCAGTATGATAAACAGCATTCAGTTTATTTCCACAGTGTCCCTCCCTAGAATGAATTGACTGAAGAGACAGATATTTAACCCAGGAGACATCAGAAAGGAAGAGTTCATTAAAAAAAAAAAAAAAAAATCCATCTCACACTAATGAGAAAATTCCCTCTCTGGAAAATTGCAAAGACACTGGTGCCCCAACCTCATATATAAATACTATTGGTCTCTTATTTAAAGGAAAAGCATTAAATGTATTATTGCAACTTGGCATTGGGAGTTCCCAAATTTGTAATAAAATTAAGCAGCTTTGTGAAATAAGGACTCAGAGAAATAAAAATCCTCTGCACTGCTTTTCTTCTAAAGTTTGATACAGAAGAGAAAAACCCTCTTATGTGAAATGGATGGAAATACAATAACTACAAGAGGAGCACTTTACTCTGGCTGAAAAATTACACTCTGAAATGATACAGTGAAGGTACCAAGAAATAAACATTTTTTATAATAGCTTTGGTACTGTAAAAAAATCTACAGATGAAAAAAATGAGGAGACTGCGACTGGTTTTCTCAATGAAGAATTGCTACAAATATGAACCTCAAGTTCAAGATAAAAGTGTGTAGGGTTGGTGGGCCTTAAATTTCTTTTTTCTGTAAGGAATTGGCTGTAGCAGGGCAATTTGTTCCTTGTATAACAGTGCAGACATAAGGCGAATGCTTCTCCACATTTTTCATGGCAGTGAGATATGCACTTGTCAACATATTTTGTCACCACAAAGTGGCTCTTGGCAATGGGATCATAAAGATCAATAAAAAAGTGCAGATTCTCAATATTTTACTTGCAGCTGCAAAAATTTCATTTATCTTGTTATTTTCCTTACTTGCTGCCATTCTGTCTCATGAGGGCACTGCTAGCTAAGCAGAATGTTTTTTCCAACATTCTATGAATATCTGACAAAAACTCCAGCCAGTTGTCCAGCTCTTGCTACCCTTCCTCCCTCTGCATCTCTAAGAGCTGTGCATTTTATTAATTCTTTCCACTGTTACATAAAAAAATCAAAATTGGAGCTGAGCTATAAATCACTGGCATCTCCTAACTTGAGAAAAATTGAGTCTACTTTGTACTTCACCCTTGCAACATTTCATCTCTCGGTTTGGCTTCCCTTCATATAAACACTGCGCCCGGCAAATGAATGTGCTAAAACCAAATGACACACTTTGCTGCTGAAAGAGCAGAACTGTTTTCGAGCAATGGGTGGTCTTTTGAGGCACCGAGTAGGCCGAAAGGGGGAAAAAATGTGTAAGCGTACACCAATCCTTACAAGCGGGCAGAGCTTCCAAAACTCGCAGAAATCTCTGCATGTTGAAGCACATCAAAGGGATTTTTCCCTTTTCAGATAATATTTCCTTTGCTGACATGTATTTAGTATTGTGGTTGGATGACTCATAAAGATAGCTTCATGGCGTCCCAACGCAGTTGAAGTGGAACACATGCCAACAAACATTATTGTCAGCCTCAAAATAAAAACAAAACGTTCAGCTAAGGGTCAATCAATCAAGGGCGCTTTGAAGAAAATTCCATTTAGATATTACAAATCATAACAGAATGAATTTAAACCAGCTGACTTTTTGTGAAGAGGACATTCATGTACAATAAAAATTAGGCTGGCTCTTCAGGGTCCAACTTTTCTATTTTCTTACTCTTGGACATGGTCACTGGTGATGAATGCCAGTTTTGAAAATTGTGTTTTTGTAGTTCATTTTGTAAAGATCTGAAGTAATCGAAAACAGATCGGCAGAGAGAGCTCATAGTGTAAGGACCATCATGAAAGGGGAGTTTTAAGAAACCCACTTAATATTGACAGATAGGCAATGACTTACCCATGCTCACCTTCCTCTTAGGGCTTTCTTGTTTTCCCGAATTCAGAATTTGCCTCAATAGCTCCCTGGGTACTTATTACAGAACCAAACTATCTCTTGCTAAATGGACAAGCACAATCTTCACTAATTTTCTAGCTCAGAGTTTTATTAAAAACCTCACAACAGAAATGTAGCTGTAATAAAAGCGTGTAAAGCTCGTCTACAGCAGTGTAACGAAATACTGTCTTGTGCTACTACATTTAAACCATTGTTTAATGAAATGAAACTGCACTGAAAACCAAGGCAGTGAGTCACACACTGCCCCAATTTTGTTTTTAATTGAAGACCTTCAAAGAGCAAGCCAGATTTGTGCAGCCTTTAACCAACAAGGGGAAGAAAGTTAAAAAGAAAAACCTTAAGCTACGTTTAAAAAAAAAAAAAAAAAAGGAAAGGAAAATAAATAGCCATAGGCAGGACTCCAGGTTGCTGAGCACAGAGCCCTCTACTTTGATGTGTCTGTGGTGCCTAATAAAGCTGAACAGTTGCTTCTGATTCTAAAGGGAACACGGCTGTTTATAACTGAGGTCATATATTTATATGGCACAGGTTTTCGAGGGATTTTGAGAAAAGAAGGCTTTGTTGTAGAGTTTTTCCCATTTGATTTGTTTTTGCCCTCTCATCTCCACTCCAGCCTTCCTTAGCACTAAGTGGAAATGCTTCACCAGCAGGTGCACTCAGATGAACTGGCGGAGCATCCAGAGAATCCATCCTGCTTCTCAGATGCCCAGAGTCCTCCCTATGTGGACTCCCTACAGGAAAATGGGAATGGCTCCACCCTGCCTTTGTTATCCTTTGGGTTTTGCCCATACCTCAGGAAACCAGGAGTTTCTCTGTGCCCAGGAACGGCCTCATCAACTGAAACAAATCCTTAATCATCGAAGGGCCAAACCCACCACCACCATTAGAGGAAGCAGGAGAGTTACCCTGGCTCTGTCACTGCCACTAAGCCTAGGGGTTTTGGAAAGGTATCCTGGGGAAGGTAGAGAGTTCTTGGTTTCCCATGCCATTATGCAAGTAAAACCATTCCTCAAGGGAGATAACATGAAGCAGACAGAAACTAAGAGACCTGAGGCTGAATTTCACTTTCTACTTATTGTGTGTATATATCTGCTTGGGAAAAGCACCCCAAGTCAGTGGGTTTGCTGGACTCATTCAGACTATTCTGGAAGTTCTAATGATGTGGGAGTAACTTTACCATGTGCACAGAGTGAAGGACGCCATCTACTAGCATCTTTAATCTTAAATGTTCATGAATGTCATGAACGCTCTTACTATCATAAGAACTAAGGAGGTTTCAGAAACCTTGCTAAAAAAAAAAAAAAAAAAAAAATGTCTGCCAGTCCTTTCAGAGTTCTGCAGGATTTTTTTTTTTAACCCACCAGTGGCAAGCTTGAATTTGTATATGCAAGCCAAATGGCTTTAGCTCTGTAGGTGGTAAATCAAGATATACTTTACCTGTACTGAACTACTGTTAGATTCTGTTCTCCGCAGTGCCTTGCACATCGGATATACCTCATCCAGCTCGACTTACTAGGTTCCCCACCATCAATAAAGTGCTGTAGTGTCCCATCCTGGTCATATATCTGGAGAAGAGGTCAGAAGGTCAAGTAGTTAGAACGAATCATCAGCAATCATTTTCCCTGCTTCCCTTGGTGTCTTTATGTGTCAGCTGCAGAAATTTATTGCCCTTAGGTTTGCTAGTGCTTATTGATGCTTGTGGAAACTCATCCAGAATAACAGGAAAATATTTTTTGGTGATGCAAGTCGATCAGGTTTTTCTTATCAAGCCAATCTTCTATGTATTAAACATATTTGTGATATCTCAAGGATGTGACCATATTTCCCAAAGAATATTTAACTGATTTTGACAGGCTAGTCTTAAGTAATGAGCTGCTGGATAAACAAAGCAAGCTGAAAGGAGAGGCCACTCTGACATGGCTGGAACATCCACATTTGTGGCCCCTCAGTCTCAAACACACAACTGTCCAAAGGCATTCGGGAGGCAGTAACTGTCTGTTCAACAGGCTGGGTGACACCTAGCAGAAGGCAGTTGGAGAGTTACGGAGCCATAAAGAACTGGCAAAACAGATTTTGATTTGGATGAAATAAATGGACTCTCACCTCAAAGAAGATGTAGGACTTCAGTTTTCAGGACCTGAAACTATTAGGAGAGGAGTCATAAAAATAAAAAAGAGAGAGAACCTTAAAAAGGGAAAGAAAAAAATAGCTGTTTCCTCTGAAGCCTACATTTCTTAACTGAGTTGTTCTAATCATTACTGCCTCACATCAATTCAAGCAGCTTTCCTTTCAAGATAGCATATGAGAAAATGAAATCCCCTTCGAACCATGCAATAAGCATGGGACAAAAAGTCTTGTGCAAAGCAACTAGGGAGCCAAGCAAACAGGGAGTCAGTGCCGACAGCAGAGGCCACAGCTTGCCTTTCCAGAAACAACTTCAGATACAGGGGGACGCAGTATCTAGAGGAGTGGGAGATGAGGAGGTCATGTATCCATAGAAATTCTACAAAGTCACTCCCAGTCTTGGGGCCATCTAGGAAGCAGAGACAGTTAAGAGTTTCTGGTTCGCAGGGTATGGTTCTCAGAAGGACCATCATACACTGTACCTCTTCAGGTAAAATCAGCGGTGGGATCCTTCTTCTGGTAGCTCCTTCCCCAGAGCATCCTGACAAATCATGTCTCTCACTCTCACTAATCAGCCCTTCCACTTTTCCTTTTCAATAAGCATGGAAAATAAGTGTTTCAAAGAGCCTGGTTACATTTAGGCTGGTTACAATGTAGCCTCACTGGTTACATTTAGGCCCAAAAATTAGTATGGGCATTCATATTCCTTTAGCTCAGCATTTCTATTCTCGGGAGGTGGGGGGAGAACAGGCTTAGGGATGACTGTTTCTTTTTACTATCACCAGTCATTTAAAAACAGCTGAGTTTTATTTATTTATTTATATTTTATTTTATTTTGCTTCCCTTGAACTCATTCTTCTCCACCCCCAACCTTTCCACTAACCCCACAATGAAAGACAAACATTAATCTGATAAAAACAATTGAGAAATTATGACTGGGTAAACACACCAGAGTGATCACAGTTGATAATCAATTTAGCCTGAGAAGAGTGAAGAGATTCTTGAATTATATTTATTTAAGGCTAATGACTTATTTAATTTCTAGGTTTTAGATAATGATAAAAAATGGAAACATTTCACGGGGTGGCTACATCTGCTACATGAGAAATCTAATGATAGACAACATATTTAGGATTGACTACACTATAGTTGTTTCTGCTTTTGTTGTTGTGGGGCGGGGGTTGTTTCGTTTTTGTGTTTTTAAGAAACTTATTAAGATTCAAAATTTCAACTCTGAGGATGTCAACAAAAGTCTCAGTTGAAATTTTGAATCTTAACCAGTTTCTTAAAAATTGCAACATTGACCAAAGCCATTTGGTTCTCTTAATGCCACTGTTAATCTTTAATGGAGTAAAAAATGTTGATGACCCAGTGTCCTACCCTCTCTTCCTCCAAGAATAAATCTTCCATTGGGACTGCTGGTGAAAATTATTATGAAGCATCTTGAGAAGTGCACACAACAATCTTCCTTTGTATATCAAGCCACTGTCTTCAACAGCAAGTAAAATTTTCTAACATTTCTAACTAGTGGGGCCTGTCTTAACTGTTGGCTCTTTTGAGCACCAGCCACTAACCAGCCCATCCTAAAAATAAGCATAAAAAGTGTTTCCTCCCACACTCTTGTTTTGGCAATAATCTTAAGTAAGTATATTGTGACTACGAGGAAACCTACAATTTTTGACTGCCTGATATAAACTGCTACTTGCCTTGAGGAAAAGTAGAAGGCAATTTGTCAGGCTTTTCCCAAATATTACACAATGTAGCACATGGCATGAGGTTCGGCTTTCCTGGCTTTAGCTAATACTAATATTATAATATTTCACATGAAACTTTGACACAAATCCCATGCACCTACTTTAACCCTGTAACTACATACCCAGAGTTGAACAAACTCATTCAACCTTGATACTGCTTTCTCCCTCAATCCCCAGAGCCTAGCTATCATCAAATCCCGTTGCATTTGCCTTCTACATACTTTTCAAGTGCATTTATGTTATTCTCTCCACTGGTAACCATTTTAGTCCAAATGAGATATTTTTCCTCACCTAAAGAATACCAAGAGCCTCTTAACTGATTTTTAAAAATCAGAGAAAAATAAATGAAAAGAAAACCTAGCCCTTTTGGGTTGTTTTTGTTTTTGTAGTTCAGTTTTTGCATCGATTATTAAAACAGAGAAGTTATGTTAGCTAATGTCAAAAACTATCTGTTATCCTCCTGGAAAAATATTTGTAACACATATTGCTACACTTTCAGCCTCTGATTTCTTTTGTGATTGTTGTTGCTGCTATTTTCAAACCATTGCTTTTGGTCTATACTTTCTCTTTTACCAACAGGAGTGGAAATAAAAGGAAGAGGGAGAGTTAATTCTTACCTTTATTAGGGGATTCTAACAGTTTCGAATCTATTTATTGGGACGGCACACATATGGTTGAAATAGTTATCACACAATTTCTCACTCACTACAAAACACGCATGGCATTAATTGAAAGCTACCACAAGAAAGGAGCTGTATTGTGATCCTGGATATTAAGAAGTGCCACTGTCTCCTATGATCTTATTTTCCTTGCACAAAATCTAGATTTAAATGAGAACAGCAGGAGTAAAATATGCTCCAGGGTTGAGTGTTACAACTGACTATGAGTGGCTTGTCCACTGCTTTGTCATTTACCAGGGCTGCCAGCCTATGATAACAATAATAATCATAGAAACAGTGTAAGCCAGCGACCGATCTAAGCTCCTTTTAACATAAGCATAACACCATCTTCCAAATAATAGGAACTGTGTGTATTGGTGGCTTGAGCAGTGTTTCTCCAAAGCAAAATTTGCAAACTAGTGGCTCTTAGGCTAAATTCAAGCAATAGGCCAACCTTGTTTTTCCTGCACAATGTTTAAAAAATGTTAAAATTTAATCTAATTGAGATTTCTAACTTCTGGAAAATCAAAAGATGGGTCCTTGATCGCCGGCAGTAATCCCTTCAGACTGGGCTTGAGCTTCCCCAGCTCTGCAGTCCCTACCATTCTGACTGTCTTCTATGCCACTTACTTCACTAATTTACTTACCTGCTTGCCCTCATTAGACATTTACACTTGGAAGCCCAGCTATAAGGGAATTACTACCACCACTGAAAATCAGTCCCCATTTGAAAGCTGGGGGCACTTTCAAAGAAAATTGTTTGAAGTGACAGCCTAGAAAACTGCAAAGATTCACCACTCCTGTGCTTCCCAAGATCCGTCATCAGACCCAAGATCCAAGCTTTCTGTCCTGTAGTTTTCCAGTGAAGGGGAGCACAGAGTTTTGGGGGTTTTTTTCCCTTCATTTTTATCAGAAGAGGCTTTCAAAGATCTTTTTAAAGTGAAGAATCCCCTTTAATTCAAGGAAGTCTTAAATGTAATTACCATAAAAATAGATGAACGTTGCCCTGGTTAAAAAAATGACAGGTTGATGGGAGCACCCCACCGGCACAACTAACCCCACCTCTGACTCTCTGAGACAGTTCCCAGGACACCTCTAGGGGCCTGAGGTGAGCTGGGGGACCCTGTGTGAAAAAGCACAGGCAGCACATTTCCTCCAGTAGATAAGGCCTCCATGAAGAACTCAGTCACCAAGTCTTCTGCTAGAATGCCAAGCACTGTGGCTAAATTTAGAGCCCAGGAAAATAAGATTTGGAAGGGACCTCAGAGACCATCTGTTCTGACCCCATCAGTGTATACAGAAGGAAATGGTGTCTGTGAAAGTTAGTAGTCTAAGCTAAGAGAGACGACTAGTCCGTGACAGAACCAGGCCTCATCTCCAGGCCTTCTCATCCGCTCTCCACTTCTCTGCCTCCCATTCAGTCCTGTGAATATCCTGAAGAGAGCCAATGACCTCAGACAGAAGGAACTTGAATTACAACTTAATCATGAATCTGTTCCTCTGTCCCTGGATTTCAGCAGGGGGAGGGGGAAGGAGGAGCCGAAGGTTTCATATAAAAGGGATTAGTCAGTTTTCAGGGAGTAAGGAGACATTTCAGACGCCCTCTCCCATATTCCCAACCTTGGCATATCCCTGTGCTAAGGCTCCAGACACCGTCATTTGGTTGTCTGTTGAAGTGCCAGCCTCCTTCAGTTTTCACCAAGCAGCTGAAGTGAGGAAGCATATTTTATGCCCATACATCTAACACAGGGCCCAGCACAAAGGAAGAACCCAATGCGTGCCTAAGTGAATTGAATTCTCACAATAATTCTCTATCTTCTTCAAGATCTTGGGTTTTACTCAAAGTTTAAAAAGAAATTACCACTAAATGCAATTAAACCTTCATTCTAAGTACTAACAACTAGGGTTAAAAAACATTACATTCTTTTTGAAGCCAATCTCTTTCAATTCTATGAAATACAAGGGTGAATTTCATATGATGATTTAAAACAGAATAAACAATTACCACAGTAAGGGCCCAGAAAAGGT